TATATATATATATATATATATATATATATATATATGTGTGTGTGTGTGTGTGTGTGTGTGTGTGTGTGTGATCGAAATATACAATAATATTTATAGTATTTTATGATATACTAAAATACTATAAATATTATTAAAAAATAATATAAATGACATCACATCATATTTCTATATCATAACTCGTAGATCATTGCAGTATTATATTTTTAAATTTATATTTAACTTGATTGAGATTATGAATCTATTTAAATTATTTATAATATTTTTATTATAGTGACCAAAGCATTATACTAGTTGAAAAAGTTTTAAGAGATAATTTAAGTTTTTTAAATTAATAATACTGTTTGAAAAAAATAAAAATAAGGGTATCGATTGAGAAATATTTTTAAATATAATTATTTTTAAAAATCATATATATATATATATATATATATTGCTGAGTTATAACAAGTTGATTTGAGTTGGATTACGCCTGTCTTCATAATAACCCACTCATAAATGTGATGCCACGTTGCCGATTAATATACTCAAGTCTTTGGTGGCACCGACGAGTGTAAATTGAACGCACATGGGCTTCTTTGCCAGCTCGGTCAAAGAGAGAGGATAGGCTGCGTAGCGACAGGTAGGCAGTGGACTTCACATACGCACACAACCAAGTCTTTATTTGGACGTCTCACTGACTTCACACCTAACGCACCCTCACATGGTTTACGCCTCCATGCTGATTGAAGTTTAGATCGAACGGTGATGCGTGCTCCTATCAGGCCCCATCGATCCATATCAAGATCTTGACCATTGATAATAGAATTACGAGTCGATGCGATAAGAAGCATGTTGGCAATGCCTGCAATTTTGAACATTGTTTTCACTGTCAATGTAGGAGTTAGTCGTCGTCGTCTTGTTCGAATAATGACAAGAGAAGATGATGGGAAGCACGATTACAATGATAGGAAGGTATTTGATGCCATATTCTTTTTTCTCTTTTAGTCTAAAGGAATAAATACTTTGTTGCCTCACATCACGAGTACAGCCAATGTTTGATCAATGTTTGATCAAGTAAATATCGATTGATAATTTAAAATCATTTCATCATCAGTAACATCTGAATTAATTCAATATGATTCAAGTTCGAGGGCACATAAATATCTAAAGTGGTTTCAAGATAGCTCCGAAATAAGAGTAAGCTCTCGAGATTAAAATCGTTTGCATTAAGACCAATGTTGAAAGAAATTTTTTTGATCCGATTACTCTAATATTCAAGTTAATCCTATATTTTATTTATATATGAATTTTGCTAAAATAGAAAACCTCTCGATATAACATCGAGAGTTAGCTTTTATATCTAACCTAACTTGATCCACAGAGAGGATAGCATGTAATTATCCTAATATCGATTGGGGAGAGACCGTTTCAATTAGTCTATTTTAAACTTTTGTTCATACAGGTGGAGACTGACTTGAATCATTTTTTTTCACGATAGCTTTCACATATTGTTTGTATAGCGACCGATGGATCGTTAATATATTTTCTATCAAATTATATATGTTCATAATTAATATAAAATTTTTATTATTTTTTAAACTAGATTTTCTTACTCATAAATTGTTGTCTTTTAAAAAATAGCCATGTCACAAATTGTTGAATTTATTATGACCCTTAAGGACTTAAAATACGATAAAATTTGGACTCTTTCATCTCATTAAAATATCAAATGAATGCAATAAGTACAATAGCCATATCATTCGTTCGTCAAAGGGGTTTGGTATCTGTTAGCCATCGGCGTTGACAACGAAGACGAGATTAGTTGCTCTTCCACCATAAATTGTTGCAGGCGACGAAAGACGCCTTCCCACCGCCTTCGTCTCATGTGGATTGGACGCCGTCAACGCGCCTAACCTCTCCTCCACACGCACGAGAACAAAGAATGCGCCAACCTTCTTGAAAACTGGTCTGCCGCCTCCTATCTCTTCGAAACACAATAGTTGACCTTCTGACTTGGATCTTAATGGCAACTTTTGCATTAGAACGTGAAATTTCCGTCTAAATTGTTGTGATCCAACCCAAAGGAAAATTAGTCGGTTCGCAATAATATCAATTTGTTATAATGCGACTCAATAAAAAAAATATTTTTTTGATCTAATTAATTTAAAATATTTAATTGATAATCTTGTCGATCAACTCATCTCCTCTTTTGAAATTAATAATTTATTTACAACATAATAATTTGATAAATATATTACCTCAAATAACATAAAGTAATGATGTTTTTTTTTTTGCCTACGTTTGTCAATCATGACACAATCTATAAACTCTTTGAACTATAAAAAAATATTCACTAAAAGACTGTTTTTTCTAAGGAAAATAGTATTTGGCTCTTTATTAGACCTATAATTTTCTAACTCTTCAAGGAATTGAAGTAACTCACACAAAGATCTCTAATACATTACTGATTCCAAATCTTATAGAAGAAATAGTTTAAGTTGGTCATCAATTCATCAAGTTCATGAGAAATTCACATGGCATGGGAACTAAAATTGCAAGTGGATATGTTAATTCTACATTGCCAACAATTTTAATTCAGTTGTTAAGCAACTCTCTATCTCACAACTCAGAGTGCTTAGCTGTGCAGCTTAATGTCTTAATCATCCAGAGCAGATGAACTGTGATACTGGTTTCTTGCACTGCAAGCTGTGTTTTCTTGATTCCTAATGATCTGATCATTAAGATAGCAGATAAAAGATAACATAGCCATCAATACCTTACCATAAAATAAGCTTTGCTTTAGTGTGCAGCATCATTGCAATGCTGGTTAGAAGGAAACTAAGGATAGTATAAATAAAAGAAACCTTCATCATAATGTGTAAGCTTAATCAGCTTCACAGGCTGTGTAAGATCTCCTCTTGAATCATTTATGTTGGTGCTCAAATAAGTTGTTGCTGCTCCAATCTAATCATCTTCATGTCAGCATTTGAATCTTCATCATGTTTACATCTTTTCATAATTCAAATCATGAGTTCATGTAGATGTGAGAAAGCAATTTACAGATGAATTAATACATGAATGAACAAATATTAGTCCTAAGTACATTTTCTTTCTCCATAAGGTGCTTGGATCTACAAAGCATTTACATGTAATAAATCAAGCCAAATCTGAAGTTGTATATGCAACTAAATTGTAATAAATGCTATGAATGATGACAAAATAATATATGTTAGCAGCAGTAGAGGAGCTATAACTAAAATTTATCCAATTCTTCTCTTATATTATATCCTGTTTTTCAACAAGTGGTGTCAGATTAAAACATTGACAAAGGAAAAAAAATCATAAAAAGGTAATTAAATCTGCTTGCTAATTTATTATTATATGTCAAGAATCAGTAAATGTTGCTTTGAGAACAAGTGACTCAAAGAAAAAGAACACTTAGGTTTGAGATTGGCATGATAGCTTCCAACAATCCTTCCTGTGACTATTGAGAAGAATCATACAAGTTTGAGCCACAATCTACAAACCATAATGACAACCAAAGTGCAGAAACACCAAATGTCATCAGCACTAAGATGCAAGCACAGCAACTCAAAGAACTTTACATGTGGTGGCTGTTCCACTCAAAGAAACTTTATGTGGAGAGCCATTAAGATCTTTGGTTGGGTCCTTAGTTGATGAAGTGTTACTTCCTTTGCAAAGCAAGGAACCTTACCTTTTGAATGTGGCACACTCTCCTCATTGTGGTCACCCACCTTCTTCCATTTGCCCCTCCACCTTAAAGGGCACCAAGTAATTATGTATGTTTGAGTGGACTCTGTATTGGCATTTCAAAGAGATACTGATTCAGAGTCAATGAATTGTTTTGCTGATGGATGTCAGGGTGATCAGAGCTCTTCTGAAAGGAACCACCTGCTTGTGTCGGACTTAAATGACCAATGTGGGGGGTCTTCTGAGCATATCCACTGCTACAGCTACTGCTGCTGCTGCTGCAAGTCTGGATTCCCTTTCACTGCATCTACAGCTCCAGGAATTGTCTTCTTTGTTGATTGTCAGTCTGCTACTTCAGCTTCTCACCAACTGAGTTCTTCAATTGAATTGCTACTGAGCTGCTGAAGCCATAACATGTTTTTGAGTTACAAAACCTGGGAATTAAGCACAAAGTAGGCTTAGTGTTGTTGTTTAATTACCTTATTTTCCTTGTTTTTGGAGAGCAGAAAGGCTTGTATTTGCTGGTTACTGGACCCCAAAGTCAATTGAGATCCCTAGTCCTCCTCAAATGATGATGACCACCAAACATTTTTTTTGCATTGATTGAAGATGGAAATGAGTGTCATTAAAGAGTAAAACTACATGACAATATTTTCAATTGTATTGGTGCATAATTTATTATGTCTGCAGTAACAAATTATATATAATGATTAATAGAGAAATTGATAACCAAATCACTTATTTATATTCAATGCATTACATTAACCCCTATTTGTAGAAGTTAGAATTAAGATTTTTTTTTACTTTAATCAAGAAAATAACTTTTAATTTTGTTTAAACTCTCAAACAAATCTATTAATTTAGTGTTGTTTGATGATTTAACCATCTATAAAATCATCAAAAAATAAATATTTTTTAATTTTTTTAAAAAAATTTATTATATGTCTCAAACTTAGATCAATTATTTACTGAATAATATATTAATCAACTTAGATGTTTCTAATAAATGTTTTTTTATCTTTTAATGACAAATCAAATAAGCAACTATTGCTAAAAATTTGGCTACTGCAAGTGATATACAATCAGACACCCCTTTTTTAATGAAGAATTAATTCCATCAGATCACACTTCAAAACGCTTATTTTGAAACGCATGTTTGCTTTTAACCGGTAAACATCTCTCTCTCTCTCTCTCTCTCTCTCTTACACGTACACACGAACGCCCGCACGCGCACACTTCTGCGGGACTGTCTATTTCGAATAGGCATAGTGTCGCGGGGGTGATCACAGGGCGGTGAGCCGATCCTTGTCGTCAGTCTCCGCTGAGATGCTGACAAATCGAGGCCTGCGGTCAACAAAGCGGTGTGAGCACCGCCTGTAGGCGAGGCGGGTGACGACGGCCGCAACGCCTTCAAGTAACCCCCGGACGCTGTGTGACAATGCAATATAATGTAAGCCTCCCTCCGAGCGCGGCGACGAAATCTAACGCTCCTCGTTGCTCGTCCATCTCCAATCTCCATGGCCGCGGTGCAGACAAGTCATAGTGCTCGCGCCTTGTGATTCCTACAATATATTATTCTTTAGTAACAGTGCGTGTCTTCTCACTTGCTCAGGGGAGTGCAGAGGACAGGAGGCGGTGAAGGCCTGGGGAACTGCGACGGAGGAGGAGGAAGAAGAAAGAAGAAGCCACTAGGAAGATCGCCGGCTGATCCAATCTTTCCGGTTTTTCTCCATCCGGTTCTTCGTTTTTGTTCAGCATTCTATTGCGAAGCAGGGAAATGTGCGGCAAAAAACTGAGCTTTTTTCTTCCCCCTTTGAACAATAGATCTATTTTCTGTTGCCTTTGCTCTTCCTACTTCCTGATGTTGGTTTCTTTTGATTTGATCGGAAAAGTTCCTTTTTTTTGTTCTCCGCATCATATATGTTAGCGGCGGCTTCTATTTCCCTTTGTTCATCTCTTCCGAAGCTTTCCGGAAGAGCAAGCAAATGCTACGTTACATGCTTCTCTATGAACTATGCTCCACATTTGCTCGTTTGTCATGTAATCGCTTCAGATGAGAACTTGAAAGCTTCTATTTTTTTTTTCCCCGTTTCCTTCATTTTTTTTTGGCTCCGGACGTATTCGTTGGTAATGTAGTGTGAATTTTTCGAAGGTAAAGTTGACATCTTCCTCCTAAATATACAGCCTTTCTGAGCTGATTCTTTATTTCTACGGATACTTTACTCCGTCGTCATCATTTGGTGGTCTTGTTAGCAATCTGTTGACTCAATTGATTGATCACTGGCATTTTTCCTTGAATGGGCACTCCAACATCATTATGGAGTCTACGTGACAGATTTACCTCGTTCATGTTCAAGCTAATCAACAAACAATAAGCTCACCTGATATGTCTTTCTCTTTGGTCGATCTGTTCTTTCCTGCCTGCAGGTCTGGCTTGTGGACAAAGGAGGACAGTCTCAGCGAGAGAAGATGCAGACAACCAAACAAAGGCCTGTCTTTTCTTCTTTCGCACTTTTGCCATAAAATACTTGCTTCTGCTATCGCATAGTTTAGTGTATGATCGTTTTACTATGACATGGTTGGGTCTAAGGGTATACTCTGTTCTTTGTCTGGACTATGAACTGGATGTGGTAAGAGGGACTCTTCCCTTCTTCCTGCATGCCTGCGACAAACTTCTTATAAGCATGAATTAGTGGGTCATAGCTGCAATATGATCATGCTATTTTTGTACCTTCTACTGTCTGTTTATTACCTAGATCTGCAGTTATTATGTGGCTTCATTAAACAGCTCTTTACACAGGATATTTTGTTTGCAAGCTTGAGTAAGAGAATTAATATTTCTGCTTCTTTACTCAAACTTTTAGTTTCAATCATAGAAATTTAGTTATTGTTTATTGGTTGGTGGAATCATAATTATGATTTCACAAAGTCATGCAAGGATATGAAGGTTGTGATGCATATGGGGTTTCTTCCTGGATCTCCTTTTATTTCTTCTGGTGAAACTCTTATTAAGTTCTTTTACGAGGATCTATGAACATGGATACTTCAATTTGCTTGGTGTTACCATATTGGGTACATATTGAATATGCTACTTATGGGGATACCTGTAGATCTTTACTCGAGCATATTTCTTTTTGTGAGACTCTTATCGAGTTCTTCTACGAGGGTCTATGAAACATGGATACTTCAATTTGATTGGTGTGATCGTATTGGGTACAAATTGAATACTCTACTTACAGGATACTTCTCAGCTATGCATGGGACACCTCCGCAAGGTGTCTGAGAAGACCACATTACCTTCAAGATATTATTGGATGGTTCATCAATACTTGTTGGGAGAACTTTGTTCTGATTGACTGCTACTCTTTAAATGAATATATGATTAGATAAATTGCATATATGTCATTCGTACCAAACATCGGTGATCGATGAAATTAATGGAACAATCTTTAACTTCACCGACCACAAGTTCTTGTTGTGTATATATTTTTGGCATACTGTCACTAAGAATTAGATTTTCGATGATGAATATGTTATGAATGCTACGTGCTTCATGGTATATGACTACCTACTCTAACACTAAACAGAAATGCCTATCTTTGTTATACGTACAATTGTACATATTAGATATTTTTTTAATTGCTTTTTCCATGTCAAGTCGTAGTGTCTCAATCCTTATCCACGCTTCATAATTAGTTCTTTTGTATTGGAGAACCACTTGCTGCTTTCCAAAGTCTGCTCCTTTGTTTCTTATTGGTGCTCTACTTTTGGATTAGAGAACTTGTTCACATTTCACCAACCTTTTGTTTGTTGATCATTCATTTAGACTATTTATGTGCCATAACTTACCTGGAAACAGTACAAAAAGCGATTATTTAGCTAGTGATCTACCATCATTTTTTGCACTTGTTCTGTCAAACGCTGTATGTGCACTGATATCTACAAGCAATTGAGTTCTTTTGCTTGACACAGGAGCGTGTCACTGGAAATTCCTCAAAGAACATCACCAGTCACCCCTAAAACTCGTGCAAGCAAGATTGGCGATAATGGATCCAACTCTTCTACTTCTGCTACATCAATCAGGAACCCCAGTGAAAGGAGTCCTAAGGTGATCGTGCGCCGGTCACCTAGAAGTCCAGTGACCGAGGTATAATATTCATGCATGGTGAAGTCATTCTATTTGTACTCTTCGATGCACATGAGTAGACAAGCAAATTGGCTACTAAATTTAAATGTTTAAATGAGGTATCATGTCCGTGCATGGAGGAGTCTTAAAGTCAAAGAGAAATGATTAAACTTGAGATTTATAAAGTTTCTAACATATCTTTGAAGGAACCAATCAGACTGTGCATTACATAATCTAATGTAATATCAAGTCAACTTAACAGCGAACTCTTGGATGATAGAAACTCCCACAAGGTGCCCTGGATTCCCTATCAAGTTAACTCATAAGTAGGGTGGCCCAATGCACAAGGCTCCCAACAAAACGCCATTATTCTGTAGCGTAATTGCTGACACATGGATCTAGGACTGACTACCTCAACCTGTTTCAAATGTTAAGGAAATTGAACATCATTAATGTCCGACCCCAAATTTTGAACCATTCATGACAAAATAGTTTCTATATTTGTAATGTGCATTTACATTTGCCTTACTTGACATCTTGCCACTATGTACCAGATGTCCACACCAATCACTGCTTTTCAATAGGATTCTGCAATCTTACTAACAACAAAAAGGCAATGCTTACAATTTAAGATTTCATCACCTTTGCGATTTCAGATATCCGATAAATCTTTTTTTCTTAAAATAAATACACCAATCGCTTTCCAATTTGAAATCTGATGGCCAGCATGTGTACTATCACACACCAAGGGTAGCCAAGTCTAAACATCTTTCCCACAGAGTTCACCATCTTGCTATTATATTATGCTGTTTCTGTTTGTTACAACCATTAAATCAGCTATTATCTTATGAACGAGTTCCAGAAGAGGCATGCTACTAGGTTGTCCGAGTTGGATACTCAGATCTTCCAGCTTCAAGAGGACTTGAAGAAAACAAGAGAACAGCTTAATTCGTCTGAAACATGTAAGAAACGGATGCAGAAGGAAGCAGAAGAGGCCAAGAAGCAGCTTCAGGACATGTCAGCCAAGCTAGATAATTCCCAATGCCAGCTTGTTGAGTTTTCAGCAGCAGAAGAAGCTCGCCTGCAGGAATTACGGAAAATCTCTCAGGAGCGTGATCGTGCATGGCAGTCAGAGCTAGAAGCAATCCAGAAACAACATTCTATTGACTCAGCGGCCTTGAGCTCTGCCATGAATGAGATACAGAGGCTGAAAGTGCAGCTTGAAATGGTTCTCAAATCTGAGGCTGCGTATCTGAAGCAGTCTGAAGTAGCACGCACTGAACTTCAGGATTTGAAGCAAGACATGGCAGAAACACTTTCAACCATTGAAAACCTAAAGGTTCAGCTTAGAAATAGCAAGAAGTCGGAGGTTGAGGCTCATACATTGGTTGATGAGACTCGAGAGCAGCTAGAGATGGCTAAGACCACTATCAAGACTCTACATTCTGAAGGGTTGAAGCTCAAGGAATCCTTCAGCTCCGAGGCTAGAGTAAACTCGCTGGAAGAAGTGAAGAATTTGAACACAAATGATCTTGGTGAGGAAGTTCACTTTGGCAAACTTTCAGAGAAAACCAGGGACAACTCGATGGAATCAGAAGTAAGACAACTAAGGTCTGCGCTAGAAGCTCTTGAAGTCAAGTATCAAGCGGACCAAATCCAAAGCACAATGCAGATCCGGTCTGCTTATGAGTTAATGGAGCGAGTGAAAAGTGAAAGTGGACTCAAAGAGGCTGCACTGGAGCTCCTGTTGAATCATACAAAAGCAGAGATTACAGAACTAAGGGCTAACCTACTCAAGAAGGAAGCAGAACTTCAGCATGTAGCAGACGAAAAAAAACTGAGAACAGACAATGGAGAAGTTCAAAAGGCACAAATGCAATCTGAATTTGAGCTGAAGCTTATTAAGTCAACTAATGAGATAACAGAGTTGAAGTCAAACCTCATGGACAAGGAGACCGAACTGCAGAATATTCTGGAGGAGAATGAGATGCTGAAATCAGAAATGGGAAAGAGAGAGGTGGACAATCGAAAAAGTAACTTAACCACTATTGCTGAGCTGGAGTTGGCAAAGGCTGCAGAACAGGATGCACTAATAAGGCTTGGATATGTTACTGAAGAAGCTGATAAGAACAGCAGGAAGGCTGCCAGAGTAGCTGAGCAACTTGATGCAGCTCAAGCTGTTAATACAGAGATGGAATCTGAGTTGAAGAGGCTAAGGATACAGTGCGATCAATGGAGGAAGGCAGCTGAAGCAGCTGCGGGGATGCTTAGTTCCGGCCACGAAGATGGACGCATGGGAAGGACTGGTTCACTGGATTCTGACTACAGTTCGATTGCTGGGAAGTTGATGAGCTCACCATTTTCCGATGACCTGGACGAAGAATCACCAAAGAAGAAGAACACTAATATGCTGAGGAAGATTGGTGGCTTGTGGAAAAAAACCCCCAAGTGATATTGGTTACACGGTATGTCGATTCGAGCTTCCTCTTCTCTTTTTTTTTTGTTGTCGTCGTCATCCTGGTGGACTAAACAAGCAAATGCTTGCTAGGTCATGATGTAGATGTTCTGCTCTCACGAATACGGTGGCCTGCGAAAATAATGCTGGGGGATGCAGCATTACACAAAAGATAGGTATCACGAAAAGCCTAATCTTTGTTTTGTCTTGCAGACTATAGCTTTCTTGATGATACTCGAAGGTTATCTGTAACTTATAGTCTATCTGGAAGATGCTACTTCTGTGGTGCAGCTTCCAATTTTGTTTTTTCGAAAGGACCAGGTTGTATCTTGTCTTAATCCATCATCTATTCAAAAACAGGGTTCAAAACTGATGACCTTTAAGATTATAGTTGGCAATTTTATATGCATTAGATATAATGAAGCTTTGTCAAATTGATGTGTCCTGATATCTGTCCTCTCTATCCCAATCAGATTAGATATGTCCATGTCAATTAGAGAAATTAGAGAACACTACAAAATTCAAGTTCTTTTCCTGGATTGTGATCTTGAAATTGAAATCTGTCCTTGTGGAACACACAAAAGCCATATTTAAGGAAGACTGCCTCTTATGAATAGCGTTAATGCTTAAACCTTGTCTTCTCCAAAAGAGAGTTCTACTGCTAGGAATTATGCTCTCCACCATATGATCATGGCCCAGTTATCATTCAGTATCACTGCAGCAAATATCTTTTTATATTCGGGTTCCGAGTTCCTTATTCTTTTTTGTATAATAAAAAACAAATGCTTATATTTTCCGCTGAGTAATACAACCAAATGCATCTTTTTACAAAGATAAGCTGGGAATTCAGCCACTTCTTCAGATCATATAGCAGGATTAATCTTTGTGAATGATTCATTTGAGGTAAATAAACTCTTCATATGTGTTCTAGATTGGCACTTGGTGCAGGAGGAAAATGTATTGTTATTTTTGCTGGAGTGTACTTTTTTGTGCATAAGGAATTCTCCAGTATGTGAAACACTATCACCAAACAGCACAATCTGTGAACAGTGGGGTGAAAGAATCCTCTCTCTTTCTTCTTTGTGGCACCTGACATTTCCCATGCTGTCTCCTCTCAGGATCAATTGGCACTTTGTTGACTGTTGGCACTACTATAATTTGGTAGTCCAAATCAGTCAAACTGTTTCCTGTTGGCAGGCATCAAATCTTGGTGCAATCCATGTCATATTCCACATCACCAGCTTGTGGTTGAAAGTTGAAACCCATCAAGGGAGTGCACGACAAGTGGTCTCACAGGATATGCAGGAACATGAAGAGCAGATATGGACTTTGTAGTACCTCACAACAGTAGCATATATGACGTAGTTGTGAAGCTGCGATCTGTCGGAGAGATCAAAAATATAATCTTACGACAGTAAATATCGAGATAGTCGGATAACAAATATCCGAGTTTCACATTGATAAATATGAGAATCGGATGATATATATTGGAATATAACTTATAATCTAAATATTGAAGTTTTTGAATTGAATTAAGGGATGTTCTTATCTTCCATCATTAAACCACGGAAGGAAGATCAACTGATGCCTGATCACACTTCCAGCTTTGAAGTTTATAGCTCTGCCAGAAACAAAGAACTCCTTAAGCATAATGCCTGCAGATATTAAGTACTACGAGGTCAAGAACTTGGAGCTCAGCTTCTCTCACGCATCATTTGTTCTGATTACTGCCGGGTCAAGACTGTGACTGTGTGGGCATGTGTTTCATCCAGAGAGTCGGTAGATCAACTAACCTAGCTAAGAAACAAAAAGTAGATTGCAGTGTCAGAAGAATATTGGAGTTCTGAGCCATTTGAGATGGATTTGACTTGCACCTAACCATCAATCACTCTGTCAATGGTTTCTGAAGCTTAGAGATTTAGCCTTACATGGGAACGATAGGTTGGCAGAGCGGTTCATGTTAGATCCAAGTCTTTATCAGATTTGAAGGATGGAGATGACTGTCAATGAAGAAGTATTAACGACAAAGGAGTCTACCGATCTCTTGACAAGAAGCTGATGCTAACAAAGTGTTCCCGAGCCTGTCGCAGTAGTTTGCCTACCGATGCAACTATGATCACTCAGCGACGCAGGTTGTTCTACAGCTTTTATTTGCTACCGACAGAGACGATGCTCATGTCCAAATAGGTGCCTCCCAAATGGCGGCGCCGGCGCCGCCGTGCAGGCTGCCGTCATCGAGGGAGAAGGAGTCGTTCAGAGGAGCGGCCGCGAGGGCGTCGACGGCGAGGGCGGCGCCGTCATGGAGAGTGTGCGACATGCCCATGCAGATGAGGGCCATGACGTTGGCGTTCTGGGCTTGCACGTTGACGGCCTCCGCCTGCGCCCGGGCCAGCTGCGCTTGGAGCTCGTTCACCTGCCTCTGGAGCTGGAAAATGGCGCCGGCGCAGCCGTACACGGGGTCCCTGATCCGGGCATTCGCCTCGTACACCATGCTGCTCACCGCGTCCGCCCGCTGGCTCACCGGAATGTCCTGAGGGTGCAGCGCCCTCTCGGCGTTAGTAATCTCAGCGTGCAGCGTTGAGATCCGAAGATGCATGCGATCGGCATGACTAAAGCTCATGAGTCGTGCATGCATGGGAGCTAGGCTGATGCGTTACCTGCAGGAGCTTGATGATGTTGCTGGCGCCGAAGACTCGATGGGCGTTGGTGAACTTTTGCGGATCGGTGGGGGGGAAGTACGGGGCGAGCACGCATTTGTCGACGCACCGGCGGCGGAGGACCTTGCAGGCGGCGCAGGGGCTGAGCACGGCGGCAGCAGGAGGCGAGGAGGAAGGAGAGGGGGAGTAGGAGTAGAGGGCGGTCTTGGTAGAGGTGGTGTCGCGGGAGCCCATGGGGACGGGAGTTCAGGAGCAGAGGGAGGCAGAGAACGACTGGGGGTTTCTCTGAACGCGGATGCTGGTGGGGCTGCCGCTCAGGCGAATTAATGGCTGATATATAGAGACTGGTCGGCAGGGTCCGTTTTGTGGCCGTGGCTGACAGCCTGACATCAGCGGTTCAGACTTCGCTGCCGTTTCATTGTTTATACTATACGGGAAAAAGAAAATTAATATATATATATATATATATATATATATATATATAGTGTATTCCAGCTTAAATATCTGTCTGGCATGAGTCATATTATATACACCATGCAAAGGTAGTTAATAATAATAATAATATTATTATTATTATCATTATTACTCTTATGATAAAAATATTGTTAGTAAATTGATATGGAAACCTTCTTCCCTAACTATAGCTCGACACCTGAAAATACACATACTAATACAATCAATTATCCATAGGAAAAACTCGATCAATAATCAGATCAGGTTAACATTAGTCCAAAAGAAATGTTAAAGAATTTTATCTAAGAATAATTTTTAAAATATTCTTTCTTATCAATCTGTTGTAAAAAGCTATATTATGTCTAATAAAAAGTTATATTTTTTTACTACCCTCGTTGAAGTTGACATGAACATACGAGAGAGAGATCAAGTCAGAAAACTCTCGAGCCACTTCGATGGTTAACTCTCAATCCGAATCGTGTTAGAATGATTTAGATATTATCATTTTTTTATAATAAATAATATTATATATGTATTGATGGAAGAATCTAATTCACCTATAGACTTATTCTAATGACACTATAAAAAATTCATGTCCTCCTATGATAAAAGAAAGACCGAAAACAAGTCTGACATCGTCTAACTTCGATGATCAAGAAAAAGAAATTAGATTAGCTATTTTCTTTTTTCATCAGATGAATGATCAAAATCTGACTCCAGTTGTTATCATGCTTCAGTTAATATACATGAATATAAATAAAATACATATATATATATATATATGTATATAATATGTTACATAGGTATAATACATCTATTATGCCTCGTGTTTCATGTTCAAGTTAAAAAGACACAGTTCGACAAAATCAAAACATCTCAATGCAGCTTTCGAAACGAAAGACAATTTTTTTTTCCTTCTTAAGCAAAATAAGGACTTTACTAAACACGGATCCAAAATAGGGATCACAAATCACGAATCTCGACGCATGATGTGATGTTTGATAGGTTGGCGCGGCGTTCGGTCATTCAAAACGAACAAATATTCCCATCATCAGAAAGCGGTGGCGGCTTCCTTCGATCGATGTTGGATCCGATGGATCCAACCGCGTCGTTCACATCTAATCCAATCCATGCGTCGTGGTCACATCTCCAACATGACATGAACCTAACTCACCGGTCCCGAAACGTGGTCGACGTGAGCCAATTTGCTGTGGCCAACTGCATGGCTACGACTTGCAATGAAGCACAAGTGTGGGCGAGGCAGTCAAATTCCGACGGTTGGTTGTACATCACATGTCATCGATCTATGGACGTCACCGTCCATAAGAATCGGGGCGGAGAACATGTATTTGGTGATCATGTGCGATGATGGCCACGTGGTCTGATGTCCATCGAGCCCCCACCTAATCCAGCACAAGAAGACAGAGAAAAATTGGATCCCCTCCCACCTCTTTTCCCAAGCTTGAGGACTTGTGCCACTGCAGCTCAAGTTTCAAAGGGTGTGGCCTACGTGACTATTTAGCCGAATCTAATAAGAAAATAAAATATTACATAACTGGTTTTTCATGATCTTATGTCATGAATGATAGAAAAAAAAAAAATCCTTTTTTTAGCTTGATAATTTATCTATCGACACAATCTATTCATTTAGATACGGCCTTTTCGGAATGATGAGAGTATAGGCAACATAACATGTGATTGGAATGGGCATCAGGCTAGCAAGAACATGTTGTTGGACCATGTATCATGCACCAAAGAAGTCATCAATATGATTCGTGAGGTTTGATCTCTGCCATGTCCTCTAGTGCAACTGTGAATAAAGAAAACACTTGTGTGTTGTCTAATTATTGCCAATTCCAACGTCGAGTGCTTTACATAATTTACATGTTACTTGCAAATCATAATTTTTTGGTGGTCAAATTAAACAAACAAAAATTAATGTACGTACTGGTCAAATCAATATAAAGAAAAATGGCTTCCAAATCGGAACATGTCTCGTTGATGAGCAGAATCGTAAGAAATAAATATCAAATTTGAGGCCAATTGCATGCAGCATTTGTCCATCGTTCTCTCCCCATTATTAAGGGACATGAATGGCATCACACATCACTCGTGGTGGAAGAAGAAGGCTACGCGTTATTGCGCGGGTAGGGGAACGGCGTCGACCCCCGAACTCGCGGGATGAAGTCCCGTGGAGCCTGTCGGCATGGAGGTGGGGCCTCGCGTTGTTGCCAAGAGTGGTACACACCCGCGCGTGTAGGTTTCGCGTGAACAATTTTTTGACACGTGTTGGCTCGTAATAGAACTTCTTTTTTTTTGTTGACACGTTTACTCAACTAAATTTTAGGTATTAAAATTTTAATAAGTAATATTAGGACAGCACTTTGAGACAAAGGGGCTTAAAAGTTTCAATGATCTTGAATCAGAAATAGTCATTGATTAAGCATTTTGTATAGGGTAGTCAGTTTGGCATGATCTTATCCTTAGTTGGTGATGTACATAACTCACCTACCCGTAGAAATATTCAAATACTCATTTGATAAAATTAAAAAATATCAGCTGGTTAGCTCAAAGTGCTTAACTGTACATATTGAAATTGATTTTTTTTTTTGAGTCAGGACAGATCTTTTTTAGATGTTACACATGTTTGAAGCCAACAATTTTTTCCAAGTTCATCGTTATTGATAGGGGAAATGTTTTCTCCAGATCATACCAACATATGTGATAGTACTGTAAATGGAATTCGATCAATACTTGTATGTTATGGATATCAATTTAAAACATCGATTTTTGAAATATTTTGCTTTTATCCTTTCGAGGTTAACTACTGTTTATTAAGATTACTCTACTTCTGTTGGCTATTGACTTAAGTATCGAAGGGATCAAGTCAGAAAACCCATCCATCCTTGATCTTCATGTAAGTTAGCCTTGGATCACACATCTAAGTCCACATCAGCTCTCAAGTAAGAATTCAGTCATGCTAGATTTCTTATACACACGACTCTAAATCAAGTTGGACTGATCCAAACATTACTGATATTATCACAGTCAATAGGATTATAAGTAATTTTAAAACTCTTACAATAGTAAATAATTTCTTCTTTTTAAAACCCTTCCAATAATAAATAATTTATTACTTAAAAAGTATATTTAATTTCATATCTGTTGTAGAGCAAGAAATCTATGGTCAAGGGTAAAATTATATGAGATAAATTTTTGATGTTATTGTTAGGATGAATTTTCAGAAAAAAAAACCCCTTTGATAAATTATCACAAAACACCCCTGTTAAAACATATAATTTTACCATTGTCTCTCATTGTACTCGCCTTCGATTTTACCATGCATCATCCCCCTTGTGTCGCCTCCACCATCGTCTCGCCTCCCATCTACTTTATCGAATTTGACGTTACCTCCACGGACTTTGCTAGCTCACATCGAACCCACCCTTATCTCACCCTCGCATAAGACGACAACAATGTGTTTGAGGAGACGACGACAACCCTTGTCATTCTCATTTGCGATCCTTATGCAAAGGAGGGGGCACGAAGGTCGTTACTGTCTCTACCAACTCTCGTGGCCCTTGTCAAACTCGTCGCCACCTCTGTACCCCCTCCTTCCTCGTGCAAGGGTTGCGGGCGACGACACTGATCGCCTATTAAGTGGGGAAGGCGACAAGTCCGACGAGGACCAAGAGCGAAGCTAAAGGCAATGGTAGATCCAACAAAATAGACGAGAGGAGAGACGGTGGCGAAGGCAATACAATACTGTAGAGCGAAGGTGGAGACGGGTCCGACAGGAGCCAAGGGCAAAATTATCATTTACAAAAAAATATTATATAGCAATCTTTTAAAGTTGGGGTACTCTCTGATAAAGAGTTTTTTTTTTTATAAATTCACCCTCATAATAATAATAATAATAAAAATAACTCATGACTTATAATTTTGCATAGTCGGAACCGTCCTTAGGATAAGGAAAATTATGACTTAATCCATGTATTTGATCTCATTCTTTTTAGTTTTGTGACACGGGCTTCTCCGTGACCTACCTCCGAAGAGCCAAGAAGAGGGACACAGCCCCGAATCTGAAGCGAAACCACTATGTAAAATTATTTTCTATCTCGCTTCACATGGTCGACAACTTCTTATTGTGGACGCCGTGTGGACCAAACTCATCAACCATACAGAATGATCAAGCTTGAAGACCTTTCACTCCTATCATTTACTCAGGTCTCAGGGAGGTCATTCGTAGTGGTTCACTTTTCCTATCTACCAGAAGTAGCTTCACCCTCCTAAATTTGAATTTGTGTCACACATTGGACTTCCTCATCGACTCACTGACGGAAAAGAACTATCGCCACCACCAAGTCAAGTTATAGTACCAACGGTGCCCTGTCGACACCCTCTTTTGGTCACTGACAATGATTACTCCCAAGACAAATGCGGTTGCATGTACACCTGCACACTGCTACTACGTGCACTGAGGCCCCCACGCGGCTTCTCCGCACCCTTGTCGATTGTTTCCCACCAAAAACCAGTGAAACTTCGCTTCCTCTTCTTCTTCTTCTTCATGCAGACATGGTGGTACAAACGGTAGGGCTTGTGGGTTCATCAGTTCCTGAGCTTTCACTGTCATGAAATGACCGCTCAGCCTGGTGTCAACGAAAGGGAAGGGAAGGGTGGGAAGGCACTTCTCCACCCAGCCCCAACTTGGCTGTCATCTCAGGCACTGAGACTCTGCATTGAAAGGGATGAGGCAGTGTGATGAGTTTGCCGTTGGGGGCCCAAACCTATTGTGAGTCAAATACGATATCCAACTGTAGCTGGACCTTTCTTTTTCCCTTACTGTATGTATCACAGTGAAG